TTTCATCATGTTGGCCAGGCTGGTCTCGAACTCCTGACCTCAGGAGATATGCCTGCCTTGGCCTCCCAAAGTGCTGGGATTACAGGCGTGAGCCACCATGCCTGGCCATATTTCTGTTAAGACACCTATTCTGTGGGACTTTGGGCTAGTTGGGCAGAGCAAGCAGACTAATACTGTTACAATGGGTAGCTAGTCAGGTATGAGCAAGGCAGGAGAGGGCGTCCCCTATACATACACGGGGAGTGTCGGGCAACCATCAGGTGCTGGTTAGGCTGTTGTTAACCGTCTCTCTAAAGTCATAATTGGTCACAGGTGGCACCAGGGAAAAGCAGGCTCCCAATAGATAGAAAACACCTAAAACTGGTCAGCAGCTTCCTGATAGGATCTCAGGAGTTGGGTGCGTGGGCTCAAGCATGGCATGTGGACAACCCACCCGCAGGGAGGAATCGGGGAGAAGGAATGCAAGACCCCGGAAGCCGGCCCACGTATGAAGCCCCGAGTCAAACAGTCCAGCCGTGCACTTCATCTCCCCAGGTGCCCGCTTGGCCCCCTTCCATGTGTACTTTATTTTCTTTCGTTCCTGCTCTAAAGCTTTCCAAGAAGCTCTCACTCCTGCTCTAAAACTTGCTTCCGTCTCTTTTCCTGCCTTACACCCCTTAGTTGAATTCTTCCTTCTGAGGAGGCAAGGATTGAGGTTGCTGCAGACCCGTATGAATTTGCTGCCAGTAGCGATACGACTATCTATCATCTAGATCTAGTTGCCTTGGACAGAATTACTATATTCAACAGTTGCAGAATGCACATTATTTTTAAGTGTAATTTATGATTTTTTGATACTCTGATAAATGTTTTCTATTAGTGTCAAAAATTATAAAATATATAGGAATAAAATTAACAAAATATGTGCCACAGTAAAACCTGAAAAATGTTACTGAGATGAAATAAGACTTAAAATATAGAGAGAGAGACCAGCTTATGGTTTGAAAAATTCAGTATTATTAAGATGTTAAATGGCCCCAAATTGATCACGTTCACTGCAATCCCAATCATCATCCCAGCAGCTTTACAAACTGTAGAAATGGCTATATTGATAAATTACATTCAGCTGAAATTTAAAACTTTTGTTTATCAAAGAGATTACTAAGAAAATGAATAGGCAAGCCACAAACTGGAAAGAAATAAAGTTAAAAATTATATATCTACTAAGGAATTTATACCAAGAATATATACATGAATAATAAAAAGACAAATAACCCAATTAAAAAATTGGCCATAGACTTGAACAGATACCTTATAAAGAAAGATAGGTGAATAGCCAATACGCACATGAAAAAGCACTCCAAGTCATTAGTCATCAGGCAGATGCAAATAAAACCAGGAGATACCTGGCCGGGCGTGGTGGCTCACGCCTGTAATCCCAGCACTTTGGGAGGCCAAGGCGGGTGGACCATGAGGTCAGGAAATCGAGACTATCCTGGCTAACATGGTGAAACCCCGTCTCTACTAAAAATACAAAAATATGAGCCGGGCGTGGTGACGGGCACCTGTAGTCCCAGCTACTCAGGAGGCTAAGGGAGGAGAATGGCGTGAACCCGGAAGGCGGAGGGTGCAGTGAGCCGAGATCGCGCCACTGCACTCCAGCCTTGGGCGACAGAGCAAGACTGTCTCAAACAAACAAACAAACAAACAAAAAACAAACAGGAGCTACCTCTACAGAATGGATAAAATTAAAAAGACCTTCCTACGTTTTCCAGTTAAGCGTAATTAGTTTGGAATTTTCACTTCTGACAGAATACTGATTGTTAAGTTGAATTTATTTGTCTGATAATAATCTAGATTTTAAAATATCCATGATGGACAAGCAGAGACTGACTAGAAAAGAAAGATCCATGCAAGCACCCTAGCAGAAAAACAGTTTTTAAAAAATGTTGCCCCTTTGACATTAGTAAGAAGTGATACTGTCATCAAGGTTAACTCTAAGATAATAATGACATACTTACATTAACAAATACCTCAAAGACCTTGACTGTTAGCATTGTTTTTCTTCTCTCTTTAATTTGTAACCAACCCAAAGCTTGAAGGCAAAGTTGTCTTTTCTAGGATGTTTTCTATTACATCGCAACTACAGATTGAGTGTGGAGAGAAAGGTAGAAGGGAGAAATCTAGAGAGCAAGACGGCACAAACGTTTATTGAACGATGACCTGGACAAAGTGCTTTAGGCAATTCTCACAATACTATGGTCTCAGGTGGTGGGAACCTCATTTTCCCGGCAAAGAGCTGGATACAGCCAGATACAGTAGTCTCCAGTACCCCTGAGATCTGCAAACCGGGTGCATTAATGTGCGATGGCTGCTACAACACATTACTATAAACTTGGTGGCTTAAAACAACACAGGTTTGATGTCTTACCTTATGTCAATTTCTATTTCTTTTTTGGCCTTACAGCTCTGGAGGCCAGTAGCCTGAAATGAGTCTTATGGGGCTCAAACAAGGTGTTGCCAGGACTGGTTCCTTCTGGAGGCCCCAGGAGAGAATCTGTTTCCTTGCCCTTTCCAGCTTTGGGAGGCTGTCCTCATGCCTTGGTTCGTGGCCCCCACCACGCTGTTGTTCTCCCCTGCTTCCATTATCACATCACCTTTTCCCTCTTCCATAGTCAACTCTCTCTTCTTCCAAAGCTCCTCTTCTTATAAGGACAGTTGTGATTATACTGGGCCCGTGCAGGTAATCAAGGATAAACTTTCCATCTCAAAATCCTTAATGACATCTGCAAAGTCCCTTTTGCCACACAAAGTAAAATTCACAGGCTTAGGGGATTCGAATGTAGATATTTTTGGGGGCCATGAATCAGCCTCTGCACTGGGCAAATCAATGTCACTTCCTGGGAATATAAATCTTCAAAATAAACACACTTCTTTCTGGAGTGCCCATGTTTTTATTAAAGATTTTTGCTATAAAAGTTACATTTTAATGGCTGGGCATGGTGGCTCACACCTGTAATTCCAGCACTTTGGGAGGCCAAGGCAGATGAATTACCTGAGGTCAGGAGTTCGAGACCAGCCCGGCCAACATGGTGAAAACCCATCTCTACTAAAAATACAAAGATCAGTCAGGTGTGGCGGTGCACACCCGTAATCCCAGCTACTCAGGAGGCTGAGGCAAGAGAATGGCTTGAGCCCAAGAGGCAAAGTTTGCAGTGAGCCAAGATCACGCCACTGCACTCCAGCCTGGAGGACAGAGCGAGACTCCAACTCAAAGAAAAAAAAGTTACATTTTAATATTGAAACAAACATAGGTATATATCAGAGTACTTGCAAAATTTGCATAACTTTGTTAAAAAGTCAATTTTTATCATAGATAATTTCAACATTTGCAAAAGCAGTGAGAAAGCATAATTAATTCCCATGTAACCATCACTGAACTTGAACAGTTTTTATCAAATCATGGCCAAGGCCAATTTAGTTTCATCTGTAACCCTACGCACGTCTCCAACCCTGGGTTACTGTGAAGCAAATTCAAAATATATCATTTCATCTGCAAATATTTCTGTATGTACCTCTGCAGGAGGGTTTTTTTTTAAACAAAACCATATTATCCCACCTGAATATCATTTAATTGAATCAAATATCTAGTCAATGTTCACATTTTCTTTGTCTCATAATTTTTTTTATAGTTAATTTGCTCAAATTGGGAGCAAGTAAGGGCCATGTTTTGCAATTGCTTGATGGGAGATATCTCTCTGAAGTCTTGTTAAATTTACAGATGTCTTCTCCTTCCTATTCTTACTCTCTCTTTCTAATAAACCTTTCTTTTTAAAGAGAGGTTTTATGTTCATAGCAAAATTGAGAAAAAGGGACAGATTTTCTATATACCTCCAGCCCACACACCTGCATAGCCTCCCCATTATCCACATGCTGCCTCAGAGTGGTACATTTGTTACAACTGATGAACCAACAATGACACATCACTATCACCCAGAATCCATAGTTTACATTAGGGTTCACTGTTGTATATTCTATGGGTTTGGGAAAATGTATAATAACATGTGTCCACCATTATTGTATCATACAAAGTAGTTT